ATTGGAGAAATAATGGGTTGGGTTTTGGCTCCTAGTTTTTGGCCATTCCAGGGAAAAGAAAAGGGTTTGTGGATTTAGCATGTGGTTTGAAGTGTGATGAGGTGTTGTGGGGGTGTGTGGGTTCGGCCAGGGTAAAAAAAAGGAAGGGACTTGGGTTTGATTTGGATATTTGGGAGGGGTGGTTTTGGGTGGTACTTTTCGGCCATCAAGGTGGGGGAAGGTCCAATAGGACCAGGGTCGGGTTGTATGGTTTATGGGTGATGTATTCATTCCAAAAAGGATTAAAACACTTGGACATTATTCCACAGATTTATTTAAGGACTCGAGGATCGTTGTTGGTGGTCGGGGGTATATCATCCTCCCCTTCTTCAGAAGAGTTTGTCCTCAAACTCGGCAGTTCCTCAGGCTCGAAGTACGGGATGATGTCCTTAATATTGAAAGTAGCCGATACTCCATAATCTCCCGGAAGGTTAATCTTGTAGGCATTGTCGTTGATTTTCTCTATGATTTCAAACGGGCCATCGGCTCTTGGCAGCAACTTTGACTTGCGTTTCGTGGGGAAACGCTCTTTCCGAAGGTGAATCCAAACAAGGTCTCCTGGCTGGAAGTGGACGTTCTTCCTTCCTCTGTTGATGCGTGCGCTTACCTTCTCGTTCATAGCCTCAATCTTCTCTCGAACCCTGGTGTGAAGGTCTTGGATTTCCTTTGACCGCTTGTCTGCTTCCCAACTGTATTTGGTTTCCGTGATGATCGGATCGAGTTCAAGTGGGGTCAAGGGGTTCGAACCATAGACCACCGTGAATGGGGATAGTCCGGTAGTCTTGTTCGGGGTTCGGTTGTAGGCAAACTCGGCGTGCGGAAGAAGCTCCTCCCATTGCTTGATGTTCTTCTTGATGAAGGCTCGTAAGAGTGTTCCAAGGGTGCGGTTGGTGACCTCGGTTTGGCCATCAGTTTGTGGGTGGCTTGACGTACTAAACATCAGTTTAGTACCCAATTTTCTCCAAAGAGTCATCCAAAAATGACTAATGAATTTGGTGTCTCTGTCCGATACCATGCTTCGAGGAACGCCAGGGAGTTTGACTATCTCTCGAAAGTAGATATCCGCAACTTGTGAAGCATCATAAGTGGTAACACATGGTACGAAATGCGCCATCTTTGAGAAACGGTCCACGACAACCATGATCGAATCTTTGCCCCGCTGCGTCCTTGGTAGCCCGGTGATGAAATCCAAGCTAATATCTTCCCATGGTGCACAAGGAACGGGCAGTGGCATGTGCTTTCCTTGGGGTAGTGAGTGACTCTTTGCTAGGTGGCATGTGTTGCAACGCTTGATAAAATGCTCGACGTCTCGTTCCATCTTTGGCCAGTGGTAATGCTCCTTCATCATCATGTGAGTCTTGTCGACTCCATAATGACCAGCTAGGCCTTCTCCGTGGACTTCTTCAATGAGGGTTTCGCGCATACTCCATTTCGGGACGCACAGTTGGTTACCACGGAAGAGATAACCGTCTTTGACAAGAAAATCTCCATAGGGCCGAATGAGGCACTTAGAATAAGTGTCCTTGAAGTCTTCATCTTCCTTGTACAGCTCCTTCAAAAACTCAAAACCAACAAGTTTGGTACTAAGTACCGTTAGTAATAAATGCCTCCGGGACAAGGCATCGGCGCCCTTGTTCATGGTTCCGTTCTTGTGTTTGATGGTGAAGGTGAAGGTTTGGATATACTCGACCCATTTAGCATGCCGAGGTCGGAGTTTATGTTGCCCTTGGATGTATTTTAGCGCCTCATGGTCGGAATGTAAGATGAATTCCCTGCTCACGAGATAATGGCGCCAATGCTCAAGTGACCATACCAATGCGTAGAACTCCTTGTCGTATGTGGAATATCTTCTTCTTGTGTCGTTTAGCTTCTCGCTAAAGTACGACACCGGGTGCCCTTCTTGGGAAAGGACAGCCCCGATTCCAACTCCCGAGGCATCACACTCGACCTCGAATAGTTTGTCAAAACTAGGAAGGGCTAACACGGAGGCATGTGTTAATCGCTCCTTGATGGTCTCAAAGGCCTGTTGGGCCTTAGAATTCCACTCGAACTTCTGATTTTTTGTCAAATTCGTGATAGGTGCCGTGATGGTGCTAAAATCCTTCACGAATCTCCGGTAGAAAGATGCAAGTCCATGAAAACTTCTAACTTGCTGCATTGACGTGGGAGCGGGCCAGTCCCTTATGGGCTGAGTCTTTTTTCATCAACTTTGATTCCTTCACTCGAGATAAAGTATCCCAAGAACTCCGTTTCCTGGGAAAAGAATTGGCTCTTCTCAAGAGTCCCGTACAGCTTCTCCTCGTCTAACTTCTTAATCACCAAAGTAAGGTGATTAGCATGATCTTCCTCATTTTTGCTATAAATCAGAATGTCGTCAAAGTAGACAACGACAAAATGACCTATAAACGGCTTCAAGACCTGATTCATAAGCCGCATGAACGTGCTCGGGGCATTGGTTAATCCAAATGGCATAACCAACTATTCGTATAACCCAAACTTCGTCTTGAACGCTGTCTTCCACTCGTCTCCGTCAAAGATTCGAATTTGATGATATCCACTCCTAAGATCAATTTTTGAAAAGATCTTAGATCCATGCAATTCGTCCAACATGTCTTCCAAACAGGGAATCGGGTACCGATACTTGATAGTGATCTTGTTGAGAGACCGAATATCACAACACATACGCCACGTTCCATTTTTCTTGGGTACCAAAAGTGCCGGGACAGCACACGGGCTAAGACTTTCTCTTACGAAGCCCTTGGCTAACAACTCATCAACTTGACGTTGAATTTCCTTCGTTTCTTCGGGGTTCATTCGGTATGCGGGTTTGTTGGGTAGGGCAGCCCCCGGAATGAGGTCAATTTTGTGTTGGATGTCTCGTTTAGGAGGGAGACCGTGTGGAACATCATCGGGGAAAACATGGGCATATTCTAGGATGATAGGCCCGGCTAAGGGATGAGGCTGTCTTGGGTAGTTTGATGGTTCGGCTTCTCCATCTTCCAATAGGATCAAATATTTAATCCCATGGAATTCATGTTGTTCTGCATGAAGGATAGTGGAGATAAGAACGGGAGGTTGTTCTTTGGTTGGTTTGGCCGTGGGTGTAGGAGGAGGTAAAGGGGTAAGGGTGATCTTCTTCTTATTCATCAAAAATGAATAAGTATTGGCATAACCATCATGTTGCACTCGGTGATCAAACAGCCATGGTCGTCCCAAGAGGATGTGGCAAGCATCCATCGGGATGATATCACACCACACGTCATCTTTGTACGAACTGCCAATGCTCAAGGAAATGAGACTTTGTGTGTCAACACGTAGACCCTTGCCATGATTCAACCATTGAATCGTATATGGTTTCGGGTGTGGTGACGTCTTCAAACGCAGCTTGTCTACCATGGTTTTGGAAGCCACATTGGTGCAACTTCCACTATCGATGATGAGGGAACACACCTTCTTTTGGACAGTGCAACGGGTGTGGAATATGTTTTCTCGTTGTAGTTGTTCCTCGGGGCATGATAGAGTGCTCAACGTTCTTCGGATGACCAAGAGTTCGCCATCATCGGGAGCTACGTACTCATCTTGTTCTTCCACTTCTTCCGCTTCTTCTTCAACCCAAGTTGGGCCAAAGTCTTCTTCATCACATTCGACAATGGCCATTACCTTCTTATTAGGACATTCATTGGCATAATGACCTCGTCCTTGGCACCGAAAGCAAACAGGTGCTTTCTTGGTGGGATCAGCCCGGGGTGTGAAAGAGGATGAGGGGTTTCTTGAGGTAGATGGGGAGGAGGAGGAGGGGTTTGTGCCGTGGGCAGTAGTGGGATTTTTGGGGGTAGTGTAAGGTAATTTTGATGAAGGGTAAGGTGGTTTGGATGTGGAGGAGTAGGGGCGTGGGGAAGGGGTGTTATTTTTGGAGAAAAAGGCTTTGGATTTCTTATGTTGAGCTTCAACTTTGAGGGCCAACTTCGTGAGTTCTTCAAGAGAGTCGTAACTTTGCAACTCCACCGTGTTGGCTATTTGCAGGTTTAAGCCGAATAGGTAACGAACAAAGGTTTGTTCATCATCTTCTTGCAAGTCACATCTCAGCAAGAGCTCTTCAAACTCCCGGTTGTATTCTTCAACGGACTTAGAACCTTATCTAAGCGTTTGAAGCTAAGCAAAATTCTCACGAACATATTTGGCGGGTAGAAAATTCTTTTTTAGAAGGGACCTCATCTTTACCCACGTGGACACCGGTTCCTTGTCGTTTCTTCTTCTCTTGGTGCACGTATTAGTCCACCAAGTTGATGCATACTTCCGGAACTTTAAGGCCACTATCTTGACCTTCTTTTCGTCGGAAACATCTTTGAAGTCAAAGACGCGTTCCACTGTTTCTAGCCACTCGAGGAACTCGTCCGGGTCGTTCTTCCCTTCAAAAGTTGGAATGTCAACTTTGAAGTCAGAACCTTCATTGGCTTTAGGTTTCATGGTTCCACTAGAGCTAACGTCTTCTTCACGGTCACTTCCTTGGAGCTCGTTGAGTTTCATCTTCGTAAGCTTGGCTACCTCTTTATCCAAGTACTCTACCTGTGCTTTCAAGGCTGTATTTGAGGCAATGAGCTCTTCATGGGACATAGTTCGAGATTCATTTGACATGGTTGAAGTGGAAAAAGGTGAGGAAGGTTGTTTAGTTGGGCTGTGGGGGTTGTTAGGGAAGAGGGAAGGGAGTGATGGTGGGTGGCCCTTGGGGATGTTCAACACTTAGCTCTGATACCAAATGTTATACCCAAGCATCAGGTTTTTTTAAAGGAACTATCTTGTTAAGAACAGGGAAGAAATAATCGATTGTCCAAAGTGAATAATCGATTATCAGGGGCTTCAGTTTCAGGGGCAATTTTCTGGGGATTTTCTCGGAGGGGAGATAATCGATTTATAGGAGGTGTCAATCGATTATTGAGGATGGCGGGTTTTTCTGGGAAAGGCTGATAATCGATTATATGAGAGTGATAATCGACTATTGAAGGCTTCATTTTAACACTTGCATTTTTCTTTAAGTAAAATTAAAATATCAAAGAAAAAATGTACTATATCTATTATATTATTTTATTTTAAATTATGAAATGATTTTACCTCTTAGATCTATATAATTTGAAGCTCCAAACAATTGAAATACAATCTAAGACGAATATTAAGGCTCGAGCTTCTCGATGCTGTTATATAACCACTACCTTCATCGCTCACATCCGCCATGTGAAACTTTGAACAATACAAATCAATCACCCACGACCAAAAACATTATATATACATATAATGTATTTGTAGACTAAAACATTTTATTGTGGAACAGTCTCACTAGGATCCCTTAGACCTTTTTGATGATCTTTGCCAAAAGGTCAAGAAACGTAGTAGAAAATTTATTTTTTAGTAGATGAGTTCCACCACGTTAAAATTTAAACACAACACAATAACGAAAAATATTACATATATACTTGGCTAGAGAGTCAATTTGACAATATTTACCTTGGTAAGAGATTTTCCTATTTATTAACCTCTTTCATGTCCTATTTGATGAGAGGGTTCATGCCGAGTCTTCTTTATTGGCTGGAGCTTGGCGGTACTTTCAACAAAATGGAAATTTCAACGCCTCCACCAATCAACAAAATGGAAATTTTACCTTGTACCGGTATTGCTTTTCCTCTTTTTGTCAAATATCTCCCAAAAAAAGCGGCAACCCCTTGTCCAGCGACCTCTGCTCCGGCAAAGTCCAACAGCTCCGGCAGAGTAACAGCCAGCATCCAGTGGCGGCGGTGAGCCGGTAATTATCCGGCGAACTGACAACCGTGGTCACCCAGCAACTCCGGCGACCTCTGGGCCATGAAGGTGAGGTTCGGGCAGTGAATTTTGACCATAGACCGTGAGGATGAGATCGAGCAACAATGATGACAGATTCGGGCAGGCTTGGGCAGTGACGGGCTTGGTTGGGCAGCGATACTGGATTGTGCATGACGTGGTCTACCCTCTGTTCGGGCCAAGTTCTCTCTCTTACCATCTAGGTTTGAAATTCTGTTTATAACTGTTATCGTGGTTGATTTATATATAATGTATTTGTAGACTAAAACATTTAATTGTGGAACAGTCTCACCTTTTTGATGATCTTAGCCAAAAGGTCAAGAAACGTAGTAGAAAATTTATTTTTTAGTAGATGAGTTCCACCACGTTAAAATTTAAACACAACACAATAACGAAAAATATTACATATATATTTGGCTGGAGAGTCAATTTGACAATATTCACCTTGGTAAGAGATTTTCCTATTTATTAACCTCTTTCATGTCTTATTTGATGACAGGGTTCATGCCGAGTCTTCTCTATTGGCTGGAGCTTGGCGGTACTTTCAAAAAAATGGAAATTTCAACGCCTCCACCGATCAACAAAATGGAAATTTCACCATGTACCGGTATTGGTTTTCCTCTTTTTGTCGGATATCTCCCAAAAAAGAATTGTCTTAATATGAACTGCTGCACTCTAATCAAAACCACACTATGACAAATAGGTGCTTAAGGCCATGTGACATTCAGATTCCACTAAACCGGCTATATTTACCCTGTCAAACGCCACACACAATGGTTGGTCTTCATTCTTAAAGCCTGTTAATGCCATGTTCATTCCTTCTGTACTTATTCACAATTTTTAAACATGGGAATAGCTTAATGCACCCCTGCAATTGGTTGTTGGGTTAGGTTCTGGGTAGGGATTTTGTTTCTTACTTTGGGGATTGGACCTGATTTTGGGTTTGGTTTTGGGTTAGGTTCTAGGTTGACTTTTAACTTTAGTGTTTGACAATCAAATTTGCGTTAGGTTTGCGGGTACAATCCGTTGGATTTTAAT